TGAGGCCAATGAACGTCTTGTTTCAGGGCTCGCATCGTTTCCTTCTGAAATGCTTTCTAGAAAGTTGTATTACGCTTTTATCAACTATATTCATTCTGCCTACGTAAAAAAATAAAAAGGGTAGTATGCCTCTCGTTTGATGTTATGCAAGTGATGAAAATTACGTTTAAAGTGCCTACTATAGTGGACTCCATTCAAACTTGAATAGCTTCTCTACCGGTTTGGCAAAACGACTCGTGGCTAGCAAATGCACATTTAAATGACGCCAATGACGCCTCTGACTTCAGGTCCCATGTGCCCCCATGAGGTCATTAACCTGCCTCTCCCAGAATTCGTCACTCGGCAGTCAGCCCGCCTGGAAGAAGTGATGATGGCGTCGTTGATGCGACCACAGTTGCAGCTGCCTCTTCGAAAGCAAAATCCGCAATAAAAGGCGGCAAGGGAGAGCAGATTGACGGCCTCTTGTAAACATTCCGGAGGATTTAGCAGCTTTCAGTGTGCATACGCGTGAGGTCTGTAGTTGCACTTAGCCCTTGATGAACAGAGGGTATAAGCGAGCGCAAGCTAGGAATCCCCTATTCCCTTTTTTGGTCAAAATTTGCGGCCGCGTACTTCTAAAAATATTTCTTCATTCTCATCGACTGTGGCGCATTTGTAAGCGGCTAGTAGTGTATATAAAATACAGGTGTTTTTAGGTTTGAATATTAACGAACGGTCGGCTAAGATCCTTAAACGCCAGTTGGTTGAAATTTTCTCATTTATACGTAACACTTGATACCTTTATGCGTGGCGGGTTCATGATGCGCCCGGAATGTGACATTTCACGAAAGAACAGCCTTAACATACGACATTGTTCACAACAAGAAATTGCGATATTTTTGCCAGACAGTGGAAGTGAATAAATATGAATATCGCCAATTTGATGCAAAGCTATTATCACCTCAATCATGACTCCAGGCGGTGATCACGGAATGTGGTCGCCCGGCTGCTACGGAATATTAATGCTGCGTAAATTGTGCCATTGTCATCCTTTTTGCGGCTGCCTCTGATAAAAGGTTTGACCGACAATTCGAGCCGTCAAACGGCTAAACTTCTTGTTGTACTGATCAAATCTCCTCCTTCTGAAAAGCCATCTGGAACTGGCCTGTTCACTGCTATCAGCTGTATTCGTTTTGTCTATCTGCACAAATTAAAGGGACAGTACGCTTCTGTTTTGATGTGATGTCAATGATGAAAAACCTTAATTAAATAGTTTATCCTAGTGGGTCTTACTAGAATTTGAATGACCTTCTTACCGGTTTGGCAAGACGGCCCCTAGAACAATTTAGGTAGAAGCCAGGTATGTTACTTCTTCCTTATTTAGCATCGTAAACGAAAAAAAGGTAAAGTTTAAAATGCGTCTTGGTGACCATGACCAGGATCGAACTCACACTACCTTTATCTGTGTTACTTCGTCCTACTTCACTTTCTCTACCTCTTCCTCCTCCTTCTTATTTTCGTCAAAGTCATCTTAATTAGCGTGCCCAATACCAACATCAACAACATCATTGTCACCACTATAGTCATTACTAAATGCCACTCTTGTCGATCAAATATCATGACGTGTTCCAGTGCTGCGCATCATCTAGCTAAACGATATTCTTCTTCTTCCTCTTCTCCCCTTCCCATACACTTCCTCCCCATGTTTCATCATTATCCTTATCATCACCATTCTAATTATTAAATAAACGGGCTTAGGTGATATTCGCTCATTCTAGTATATGGCGCCTCCACTTGAGCACCTATGTTATTCACGTTGGTGCAGTACGTATAGCGGCAATCGATGCATTTCAGAACTGATTTGAACCAATTGTGCAAACGTTGGCGGCCTCGGTGATGGTTTAAACCCCCCAACAGCGAGAGCACACCTTGAGTAGAGTCA